ACCTAGAGAATATAAAATCCCACAATTTAGAATGAAAACAAAGGATTCAAAATAAGGAAACCTCATCTCATTGGCTTTAGTTTTTTGCAATATCGCAGATCATCGTTTTTAGCTTTTTCAAGCCTGGTTTTCAATCGATATTGTGAATATTTTACATTCTCTAGGTGGCCCCGGTTCCAGAAGCCGCACTGTAAATACRTTGTTACTGTAATGGTGAGCTTGGTTAGATCGCGTGCAAACGTGAAATACAAATGACTATCTKTGATTGAATAGTGATGTTAAACAATAGAAACAGCGATCTTGTACACGGTTTCTATTATTATTTTTTCACGGTTTCACGCCCTTTGAAAGAAATACTAATAAACCACAAACTGCGACGAAAATCAAACACGTTTGGTTTTATATCTTTAAATGTTGCTGTTTTGTTATTTTTCAACAGATTGTAGCAAGAAATTGTTGTTTAAATATCAAACAATTTTGAAAGTTTTCACTGTCGTCAATTGTCTCGAATCTCGAGGTTTTAATTGATATTCAAAGACATAAATGTGACTATTGACTCGATGAAACTTAGCGGTTATCACTAGTTTATCAAGACATCCATCAATACCCCGCTAATCACAGCCTGATATGGATCAGTTAAGATTGCTAAAACTTCAAGTTATCCTCAACAAAACAACTACTTTTCAATAGCTCCAGCCYGCTGAGCGTCCTGTGAGGCTAGCTGTAGAAACAGCACAAACGCGTCAATGCGACATAGCTTTCCTCGCAACTTCAAGGTCAATTCCCTGACACATTTAAGTGCTGATGTATGGGCGTCTGGTAAAACAATCCCTAAGTTTTATTCGTTGTTGTGTTGACTCAGGAATTTTTAAAGGACGCGGACGCGGACTGTCTTAATTAATGGGTAGCATTTTGTAAGTGGTACTTAAGCCTTGTCTGTTGTGTCTTTTGGCTACTATGACTAGCAATTGTTGTAGCTTATGTAATGTAATGTATTGATTGCTTATAATAAAAGATTTGATGCACTTAACACAGGAGAAAATCTTTGTAAAATGGTTGATTAAAAGTGGAAGATTTCGTTGTCTTTCAACAGTATAAACAAAGATGACTGATTCTGCACGCAGTAAACTTTACCGATTTTCCTCTTCATACAGTTGRATTCAATCTATGATATCCCGGTATAGCATAGCTATAGTATTCATATTCATTCTAGGTGCAATCAAACATTACTTACTTGTATRTTTTGTATTCCCGGTTAGAAATTCTCACAGCGTTTATGCAATACACGTCACCAGCTTGGTGTTGAGGTCCGAACTACCATCAATCAATTTACAATGGCTTATATTAACATCTCCCAGCGAATGATCTCCCCTCAACTCCTTATTTAGAAGGTAGGATTTTAAAGACCCAGTGATAGTGTCTCACTGACATACCTCAAATGCTCTTAGTTTATTTCTGGCTTAGCATCATGAGTATACCCACGCGACCRCCATTATTGGCTATCGTTATATGACCTTCATGAATTAACCAATGACAAACAGCGTTAACTCGTCAAATAGACCAAGCTGCGACCGAATGGAATGCCGGTACATTCCAAGCATTCCATTCAAGGCGTGGTCGGCTGTCTGTTATCTAAYGTRGTACGCAATGCGTGGGAGATTGACAAGTGCGACAATCTTCACTCGTAAACAGACGTGCAGGTATTTCACATGATAACGATGCGTTATACGTAATTCAGCTCTATCCCCGTGGAATTTGCTGTGTACTTCACTCTTGTTTGTATAATTGTATCAAATTGTGTTGTTGTAATTCCTTAAGGCTCTAATACTTCTTTGAGTCTCAAGTGTTTCAGGAAACACAAGGAGAAGTGCCCTCTTGCCTGCCACGAGCTTAAAGACCTTGTCTTATCAAGTCTTTTCGTGGACTAATTAAGTACTTTGAAGAGAATAAAATAGGTTTTTTTGAAACTGATAGTGGATGTTAATAACGTGTTTAGTATAGAGTATATATATTGTGAGCACTTTCCTGCTCATTCTCATACTGCAATGCGTAATCAATCGCAAGTTRTTACCGAGTCTGTTTACAAGTACGAAATTCTTTCCTTCCTTGTGTTTAATTTGCAAATTTGTTTAATTTCATGGTTAACATCAATTATAACTTCATACAAACTTTCTTGCTTTTTTGTTTTTCTTTCACAAAATATCGCAAATGTATACCATTACTTTTGTCAACTTTGAGAAACTAAATAAAGGTATTTGCCTGGGGCTGATTCCTTCCGATACATAAAAGAGGAACGAGTCTTTAATCGATACGATAACATGCATTTAAATGGCTTCTTATATTTTTCGAATGTTTAATCACGATTATTCGTTCGATATTCTTAGCTCTTTCGATTCATTAAATTGTTTGATGCGCAACATCTTTTTGATTTTTGTTTATAAAGAAGAAGCTTAATGAGATGAGAGGATTTTCTTGATAATTACCCTGCAACAAAGGCAGACTGTTATTGATCAATCGAATAAATAGAATGCTTCGAATAACTGGAAACCCAAATGTGGGCGTTATGTCTATTTTTGTCGAACCAGACTTCAATTTTATACCAAAAACAACACAAAACATCTGGAAAATAGAGGAATAATCGCTACAGATCCTAAAGTTTAACGAGTTGACTTATCCATAACTAATTTCATCTGTCGTGGGGCAAAGMTTGCTATTGAGTTTATAATTAATTCGACAAGGCCGCACTCAATTCACTCGATCCTGTTTAGATTATCTTCGCAACTCAAAAAACTATTAACGTCTAATATAAGTCTCCTTGCTTAAAGTTTTTATTATATTTTATCCAGCTTGAACTAAAAAATTGGACATTAAACATTTCCTGATAGAAGAAGTTACGTTTTGACCTAAGTATGTTTTTGAATAGARGAAATCTTCTTTTTCTTCCTTTTCTTCTTCTTCTCCTTCTCCCTCYTCTTCTGGTGCACCTTGAAATCCATTTTATRCATCCACGTCAGTGATTTACTCCCATGGAACCCACGTGGCGTGGTTATATCTCAGTGAGAAGGAATCTRGTTTCCAAATTCCTCGCCCACYACTGCGCCYCAATTATGCGCGCACGCAAGTTTTCTAGCAATAAAGAATGGAGTTCCTATGCTTTTCCCAAACAAAAAGCRCGGAGWAGAGGGGAAAAAAGACCTTTCAATGATACTTGAGAGATGGCTTTACCAGTGAAATATAGTGACCAATCAGAGTGTACRTAAGAATCAGGTGAAAAATTTTCTCATTCTTACACTAAATAAATTGTTAGAACAAAAAAAAAACGTCGGTAAAAGTTCTGTCGTATGATGAGTGAGAGGAGGACCAAGAAACATTTCTTACATACATGTCCAACCACAATTAGTATGGCTAAAGTGGGATCTCAAAACCATCTGGTCATTTGGTAAATAGTCACCCAACATACCATTGATCCTTGTTGAAGATTCTTATTCTGTTCTTTAAATAGTACAATACTGGAAATATTACCTTAAAGCGGATGTTTGTCAAATTCACCATGTGCTTTATATTTGGTAATTTAAACAGGTGGTGATGTTACATAACAGAATACATTCATACTTCGTTTAACTTGCCTTAAATAGCAATGGAAACGGACTCTCCATGCATCTTGTAATATAAACCTTATTACATACAGCAATACGGCCGCCATCTTGCAGACGACTTGAATTCCATTCTTTTGTGTAATAACTTTATAAGTTGTTCAGGAGTGTGTGGGGGGTATGGCGGGGACGGGAGCCTTTTAAGTCTGTACAACTTTGAGTAAATATTCTAATTCAATTTTACATCACMCAAAGTGAAATCTCAAAACAATGCCATATTATAGACCCAGTGTGCACCATTATGCTTTGGGCACCGCGAAGGCCTGGAGGTGGTCATTTTCAGTTTAAAGAAAGTCTATAAATTGTACTGTGCGTTTCGAATCTTTGACCATCTCAGTTTTCTAAGCACTTTAAACGCTAATATTAGAGTTTTCAACCATCTGACATTCGTTTCATGGTGATTTTTGGATACTGGAAGTATTTTGGTGTAAATCATAACAATAAGAGAGGCTCGCAAAGCATAATGGTGCAAACTGGGCCTTTAAAATCTATATCAACATAAGATGTTTGAAAATACAGCTTGATATCAGCAGAAATACTGCATGTTGGGTAAACGCCTTAGGGCTGGCTGTGCAATCTAAAGTATGACATCATTAAGGAAGCTGTCTGTTCCTGGATAAAATACCTGACCAGGTTACGTCTAGTTTGAGACTTTCACGTCTGATCTGCCTGGAGATTTCCCATTTCATATCAACTCAAGTCTCAAGAGGGGATTATTAGCTTCTATAATTGGTGCAAACCAAGAGCTACAGCTTTCAAATTATTAAGAAATTAAAAYCTTTGAAACATTAACAGAAAAGACCACTTCAATGCCAAAGTTATATGCTATATACAAGCAAAGTCTGCAGCTGGATTTCGCAAAGCAACGTGCGCTGTAAGTCCATGCCATGCAAGGCTGGAACTTGCCAGAGGCTCATGTCAAAAATGGGGTGGTATCAAAATTTCAAGCAGAATGTTGTAAAAGTGCTACAAACCGCTGAATATCTAAACCATGCTTTCCTCAGTTTGCCGAGGAGGGCTATAAACGCAAAAAGTACATTTAGTGATATTCTATTTTCCAATATTTTTCACTATTTTAGTTATCAGWGGYGTCAGGAGCCTGCTGTTTCYTCAAATATAAGCTAAACACCTCAGTTGTGTTGAGTGGCCTTGTAGACGCCCAATTATTGGCAATTATCTTCTCATTGCACGGAATTTACTAAACCATGCTTAACGACTTGTAGCACGCACGCAGGTTGACTTGCCCGTGGGCGATTGACCTGCTAAAAATTATGGTTTCCATTTAGATTATCAAAGATGATTAATCACGTGACAATTTCCACAGGCAGCCCATTGTCAACAGCAAAATCATRGCAAACATTTATTTTATATCAATTATTTTTTCTGGTTTTACAACTTTATTTCTTTATCGTCTTCTGTGTGTTCTAGTATATTATTACCTTTGCTATAGAATTTTACTAGGCAATATAATTCATACACAATTTAGTGACTATTAATGTCCAGTTACATGAGTCGTGAACGGCTGTCGCTACCTGAAATCAAGCACTGAATTGAATATGGCCGCGGAAAAGCTCACAYATAATAGATAAGTGAAATGCTCCCTGCTGCGTGGGTARTACAATTGCAGCAAATCAAATCTCTGAAGCACATCGAAAAACGTCTGTTTTTAACAGCTTACCAGTACTTTTGACTATCAGGATTTCTTACACTGATTTAATGTTCTCACTCTACCTTACAGACTTTCAAAAGCTACCAGTTTTATCATATATACAAAGAGCAGCAGAAGATAAAAACATATTCCAGGGGTTTGCCGCGATGCCTGATTRCTTTTAACTTCGACTTTCTTGCAGAACGGGTTGTAAGGATCCACGAGTTGAACTATCTCTTTTCTGCAGTATTTYTTGACAACAGAAGTTTCACAGTGTTTGGCTTTGGAATACAATCTAAACATAATATGATCATGGGTTACCTGTGCCTATATTCCAGTGCTCAGCGGTAAGTATTGAAATGTTTGGGTTGCGGACCCGGCTCAGTTTCGGTAAAATACAAAGATTGACAAAACTGTATTTTTCTCTCTTATCAGTCTTAATTTCGATATTCTCCCTCTCCTTGCATGTTATCGAGTATTTCAAACATTACATTACACTTTCATTACACTTCGTGTTATTTCTCGTACCCAGTCTGTCGCATTTTTAGGCGGCGTGCGCTGAATCATGGGACGGGTGCGCAGAGAAGACTGGTACTTACCCACACAGTGAAGAATCATTCCTACTGGCTTTGAACTTGGCGACAAAATCCTTCGAACAGATCGGTCCCTCCTCGAACATYTGTTCTTTGCACGGGATAAAGCTCTTCAATTCTGGTTGAATTGCCGTTGCATTTATCTCAACTGCCCCTTCTGAACAGAACGCGGATTCCACGCTTGCAATAGACCGCGCGTAATAGTTAAACAGTTGTTCTAACTGTGGCTTGAAGGAGGGATCATCAGCAATGGAATTATCAAAACACTTGCTGAACAAGATGTTATGAAGACAGGAAGTCATGTTCTTGAACACTTTGCTGAAAATCGAAATCAACAGGTATCACGATCTTTTARTAAATCAAACATTTTTCTGTCTGCGTTTATTGAATTCTTACCTGCAATTCACAGAGGGATTTTGTATCATGGTGTCTAAGAATTTCCTTGTACATGGTCTTGATTCTTTGCTAACGAAGTCCATATTACAGTCTTGTGGTGCGCCGTCACTGAACACTATATAACAGCAACAAAATGATTGACATTTTAACGATAAGAACGTTATATCAGGCGCGTAGCGTGGATTTTTTGTCTAGTACGCACATGTCAGGGACCGCGACACATATTATGGATTGGGGGGCTAACGACCGCAGAAGGCGGGAGAATTGAGGGGGGTCTAGGGGTCCTCCCCCAAGAAATTTTGAAATAATAGCTCTTGGAAATGCGATTTACAGCGTTTTGAGGGGCATCGAAAACATATAAAAGGCATCAAATCCTGAAMAAGTTTAATATTTCCTTGCCACTAGTATATACGCACGTGCGTATATGCGTAAAGGACGCTACGCGCCTGTATATTCTATCAGCTTCGTATTTTCCCGTTTATGAATATGAGGACTTTCCTGTTAAAGTCTACAACGCTAAAAACTTGTTGTAACTCGTGCTTATATGGTTGCTGCTGGCCGGTGGGAGAACAAAAAAAAAAGAGATTTAGTACACTATCTTTAATTAGCTGTATACCCTGCAAAGAACTAAAAGCATCAAGTTGTGATMAAGCAYTACGTTKTCTATAAATACACACCAGGCGKCGATTCCCAGGGGCCAAGGAACCTATTGYTATGGTTGATSATTYCTCCCGTRSGGSC